TTCCTAAGCTGAATTCTTGACAACCAATGATTCTTAAGAGCTGTCGATCTTTTGACAGGCAATATATATTTTTTTCTGATTAAAAAGAAGCCCTGTACTGTTCTATAGTTATTTTAGTTGTAGTTATCCCAACTGGCCCCTCCTTTTAGGCATAGGCTTGCCCTCAAAGTAGGAGTGTCAACAACCCATCAATAAACCTTGCTGTTCCCTAGTGGCTTATGGAAAAAGAAGGGAATGCTCCCAGCTCTTCCTGAAATACATTCAAAACAATATTGACTGAGTGCTAGCAAAGTATGCTTGCTTCTCTGGTGCTCAGGAAGTTTATGTCTGACTTTAATTCCAAATGAGCATGCGCCATCAAACCCAGACATTCCAATCCACAGCACAGGTTCCAGTGGTTAGAGGAAACTAGATGCAGTTTGGCCTTTTAGTTGCTGTTTTTCAGTAGCTAGTGATTATTTTAATCTACTTAACCCTCTTTCCTAGGCATTTAAGCTAAGTAGGATTTCCCTGATCCAATAATAATAATAATAATAATGATAATAATAATAACAACAACAACTAATATTTGTGTAGTGCTTTAAGTGTGGGGAAAGGAAGAGGGTGTGAAGTCTCTTAGTGTAGACAACAGGTCTGTATTTAGGTTTCTGACCTCCTCTCTCCCTGGACTTATATAGGCAATGAACTCTTAATCATGAGCACTCAGATTGATAGCTATATTATGCACTGATATGTGCTAGGTACTCCACCAGCAGCTAGCACATTTTAATGATAAACTTCATTTTCATAAAAAGCAAAATTGAAAAAGAAAATGGCATATCATGGAGATATTTCTTTTTTGATAGTGTTATTGGACTGGAAAATCTTAGAATGACACAGAGCAGAACATGATTTCAAGTAGGCTTTGACAGTAATGCTCATAATTTTTTATTGCTTATGATTTTTTTATATAAAATGGAAAAAATATGAGCAGAATAATAATGTGCTCTTTCTTGGTTGAACAACCATGCTCAAAGAGGCATGAAGAAGAATTATTTCTGAGTGTGAACAGTGTTAAGAGGGCTTACTGCCTAGCTTTGTATTTGGCCTAGTCCTGGTTACCATTTTCATTTGGGGGTAGAAATCTGGTGTCATTGGTTCTGAACACTTCACAAATTATTCCAATGTGCAATCAAAGAGAAGAACCATTGATTTAGGATCTCTGTTGCATATACAATACTGATATTGTTTTAGCATTGATACCAATAACTGTCTTCCAGTGATCCAGGGTTTTATATAGCACCATAATGGTTAATGCAAGGGTATTAAACACTTACCTGATACAGCTCCATAATGGTTAATACACGGGTATTAAATACTTAAAGTTCATTTCAACTTTGATAAAGGTTTAGAAAATTATACATACAAAAGGTTCCATGATTTGGTGGATACAACTGAGATATTTAAAAATGTGATATTCCATCAAATCCTGTTGATAAGAACAGCCCCATTATGTGTGAATACAAAGTTAATAAAGAGGCACTCTTTTGTGCTGAAAAATGAAACAAACCAAATTTTTGTTTTATACAAATGATCATGCCTCCTTATTTAAAATCAGGTCATTATAATCACAGGTCTTAAAAATATATCCTCAATTAACAGAAAGTTGAGATCAGCAGAACAGCAACATTTGATTTGCACATCCACAGGGTGAGTTCGATTTTTAATCACAGTCACTTTGGCAAACAGAAGGAACAAGGCACTTTATTATTGGAAGCTACATTAAAAATGTCCATGGGCCACAGAACAACATGTCCAAGGCCAATTGTGTAGAGTGCAAAGACTTCAGGCAGTGGGGGATGGTAAGAAGTTTGTCTCCTCTCTGTCTCTGGAAGGGTACCAACCTCATAACATCAGTACAGTTAATAACTCTCTGACCTTTAAAAGGCATTTTATGAGCAAATTAGGTCAATTAGAATGGAGCAAAAACCCCAACCACTTTGTAACCAGGGTAAAAATGTAGCCAATTCCTTGCATCAAATATATGTTAACAGACAATGTTCATACAGGGTTTTAGTTTGCTGAATTAAAACTAACAAAAGAAAGACACAAAGAAAGCCACAGTGAGATGCAAATGACTTTGAAATGTAAAGCCCCAAACTTCACTTTGAACCTGTCCTATTCAGTGTTGTCTGTTCATGAGAATTAACTGAACTGTACAGAACCCTCCAGTCCTTAAGGGGATGGGGTGTGGCCAGTGTAGAGGGAAAGTTCTTGGGAACTACATGCTAACTGATTTATACACATTATTCATTTCGTTTTCATGCCAGCTCAATGAGACAGCTATTGTCCCTATTTTATAGAAAGGAAACAGATTCAGAAAGGCTTTAAGGGACACATCCAACTCCTGTCTAGTGAATCAATTATTTTTCACAAGCATGTGCCACTCCATTCTACCACTCTTCTTTCTTTCAATAATTTATCTTCTTTCCTTCCACTTCTTTCCATCTCAAAGCCTTAAAACCAGTGGACAGGTGATAGTACTGGAAGGATTTTAAAGGGAAAAAATCCTAATAGAACACTCTTTCATTCCTCTCTTAAAATCCTAGACGATTTTCTGTTTTACCACACATGGCCTGGTCACCAGGATCCAAGGAAGTGTAGGCTCCCTATGGGCTCATGTTATATTTTTTGCTTTTTAATCTCCCCCTGGTTTCAATGACTATGTTTTTCAAATCCCAAATAAGGGCATCTAGCCTGAGACATTATGTTTTTTTAAGAGATCATGAGGATAGCATATTTTGAAATTAAAGCTTAAAAAGTACTCCTGGTGTCTTGGAGAGATAGGCTCAGAATAGGGCTGACTCAGTATGGACATGTTGATTAATTAATTGGAACCTGATCACACAAGGAGAGTAATGAGCAAAGTTAAAATAAATTCTTATCACTGGAATTCAACAGGGTGGTCTTTCTGACAGGTCTTTTTGTCATAGTCTTAATGTAGGCTTTCCTAAACCTTGTGGTTTGTTAACCTGCAAGTACTTGTTTAGATATAAGGCTGTGGATTCTAAAAGACAAGCTGTTAATTATGAGTTCTAATCTGAAGCTAGAAGATGCCTATAAAGATTAAAACTTGTTTCCTTTTTTCTAACAATTAGCAGCCTAGCTGAAGAGCGATCAATTATAATTGAGGAACTGAAGAAGGTAATAAATGCATTACTGAGACCAGTTGCTATACAGAACCATTTTTTTAATCCTTAAATTCTGCAGGTTGTAAATTACTCATTAGAAGGCAGAAAGCAAAATAGCCATAATCCATTTAGTGCCTCCAAACTCCACAGACTTAGAGGAGGAAATCCATGGAAACAACGGGCCTGATGTGTTCTTTCACTGCTATTTCTTAATGGGCAAAGGTAGTTAAACAATAAGGAAAAGCCCCACTAATTATCCTGATGCGATGGTCCATAGGTCAGGGGTGGACTTGATTAAATTCATGGAGGGTTGACCCACAAATGGTGGGAAAATGCCCCTTCTTTTCCACTCAGCGCCACAGGCAGCTAATCAATGTGAACATCTCACTTCCAGATTATTTCATGAGACCAGAGAAATAGCCCACAGCATTCATTAGGGCATTCACTCATATCTGTTGTTTTCCAGTCAGTGTAGGGACTAGGACAAGAAGCCAAGTACCAGAGAGGAATTAGAAGGGGGCCAAGGAGGAGACTGTCCTCCTCTCCACACATAGGAAATATAGCTCCCATTTACAAAATATTCAGCTGTGAAAACAACTAGACAATTAGTTTGTAGGTTTCTTTGCATGTACAAAAAGGCACATATATTTGGTTTGAATGTGGATTTTTGTAAGCTTAATGTGAGCACATTTAACTATTTACTAAGGGGCAATGGTTTTTTAATACCTAGAAATGAAATTCAATTTTAGGCTCTTAGTGGTAATAACACAGATGATATGAATGAGGTTTTTTTTTTTAATTTTTAAATGTGTTTTAATTAGTTATACCTGACCATAGAAGGCATTTATGCACTTTGGTATATCATACATAGATAGGATATAATTTCTCATTTTTCTGAGTGTACATATTGCAGAATCATATGAATGATTTGGGGGGGTAAAATTCAAATCTGTGTATATTTCTTTTTTTTTTTCCAACAATATAATGACCTTTAAATACGTAAAACAGCTTCTGGGTCACCGTTAGACTAAATACAATAGAACACCTACTGGTTTGCTTCTGTACTGAGAAGAAATTTCTTTTATACTTCTTTGCCTTTTTCCTTCATGATCAACAGCACCTTTCTGAATAAAGATGGTGGGATTAGGCTATGAAATGGAACTTTTTTCTTTGCAGAGGTAAGTGGACCACATGAGGATCAAATCTCCATTTCTGCAGCAGCAAACTGAGTTACCCAACCCCAACTATTTCCATTCATTTTCTACTTGACAGTCTTCTAATGACGTTTGTGATTTCACCAGATTGGCGCTATGTCTATCTCTGTGTTCCATTCCAGTACCCACCAAGTTATTGTTGCTCAATAAATCATTAATGATAATGAAGGGAAATTCAGTTTAAAATTATAGCTGTTTGGAAATGTATTAACTTTGTTAAAGTCATTATAAAGTAAGTGTTTCCTAGATAGATTATTTAACCATGTCACATGATAAATATTTTTGCTTCCCACATCTTCTCTTCTTTCCATTTCTACTGTTCTTACAGTAGAGAGCTATACTAAAGAATTTTTTTATAACTTTATTTATTTTTATGTAGTGCTGAGGATTGAACCCAGTGACCCTTTTCATTAGACATACTGACTTCAAAGCACTTTAGGAAACCATTGAGGCATGGTAAGAAAACTTTACAAAGCTCACAGTAATTTTGAAATTATAACCTGTTGCTTCTATGTTATTTGTCCCAGGAAAAAGTCAATTTTGGTGAAAACCAGAAATGATATCTGGCCTTTCCCCTTTCCTGGGGATGAACTACCCGAGTTCTCTTCTCACTTACCCTGAGTGGATTTTCATTAAGGTAAGGGGGTTCACCTTCCACCATTTCAATTGCCATAATTCCCAAAGACCATATATCAACTTTTGGACCATAAGCTTTGCGAGTCACCACCTCAGGTGCCATCCAATAGGGAGTTCCCACCATGGTGCTTCGTTTACTTTGCTCAGGAGTGATCTGGGCACAGAACCCAAAATCAGCTGTAGAGATGAAAAATCAATTAAAATAAGCCCACACTCTTTCATTCTACAATAGGATACTTTCAGATATGGTTGAACCTTCCTGTGAAACACTGAGCTTCCATAGCTGCCTAGCTCACATCCTTTTGATACTTAATTTCTCAGCTGGTTCTGGTTTTAGTGGGGTCAGAAATAATCATTGATGTCATTTTTACCAAGCTTTAATATATTTCAGTGTCCATTATTGTTTCCTGCAAGTTACAGTATCCTTCACTTTTCAAATTAGGTACTTGTCATACAATCATAACAAAAAACACTAGAAATTGTGAAATATTAAATGCAAAAATTCTGGACACAATCTACAGGAACACAGCATAAAACAAATTAATTAAAATTGGGTTCTCAATGCTTCCAAATAAATTATTTCAGCAGCCATTATCTTCTATCTTCTTAAGATAGGTAGTAAAAGAACAGAAATTCCCTGATATTTTCTCAAACATGATCTGAATCAAAATACCTACTCAATTTAACAGAGCCATCCATCCCGAGGAGAATATTGTCACTCTTTATGTCTCTATGGATCACTTGGTTTGAGTGCAAGAAATCCAAAGCTTGGAGGCACTATTGAACCAGAAAAAAAGTTCCAATTATATCACAAAGAATTTTTTAAATTCTAAGTTTCATTTCTAGACAAATTATTGGGGAAGGATATAATTTTGTGTTGTCAAATGAAATTGATTACCGCATGCCTTAACACCACTTTAAAATAACACTATAACTTAAATCAGTGATGTTACTTAGCAGTATAAGTTTGATGGCTCCCATGTCAGACTAGGCCATGAAAGAGTAAGGATATAAGTAGCACTAATCATGAATACAGCAAACCTAACACAAAATATAATCATCTTTTGGCCTAGTTATCTGCAAGGTATAGATTCAGCTTGGTCTTTTCAGATGTAGGAAGCCTCTGTGTATATGATTTCATTTGATTGAATAGGTTTGGAGTAGTACCCAGGAATCTGCATTTGAAATATGTGCTCTAAACTACTTCTGATGAAGAGCCAAGTTTGGGAAGGTCTCCTAGTTTATAAAATAACTACAGATACTTGTTTGGAGATGCTTTTGTATTGTAATACCAAAAAATGGAAACCACAGGCTCAGGACTTGAATGACAATAAATTTGATTTATTGCATGAATAGAAAACATATGCATTTAGTGGATCTATGGTGTCTGGGGTGCAGGAAATGAGAATAAGAAGAAAACAAAGGAGGAAATTCAAGCAAACAATTTAATACAAAATGTAAAGATTAGCTGATATCATTTATTTTTGTTTTTCTATCATTTGTTTTCACGTTTTAGTGAATCATTATTCCTATTTTGTTTGTAGAAAACTTCACCATAATGAATGAGATAGAGGACAATGCCCAACATAAGACTCTAATGAAAAGTGTGTGTTTTTAAAATTATTGAACAAAATAATTATAACAAAAATCCTTTATTTAGCTTGGAAGTAAGAACATGACACCATTATTGGAAAAGAGACATGCACAGGCCCACTGGAGGGCTATGGGGAATATCCACCTTGTAGTATGAAAGCAACTGCTTTCTGGGCTGAAGGAGAACCTTGTTTAACTTGCCTTCTGGAAAAAGATCGGAATATCATGTGGTCATATTTTACATGTAGTAAGAAATAAATATTGTGTTAAAATTCCCCCAAATCAGGAATAAGTTCCATGTGAACATCACCATTTTGCATATTAATTATAGTGATATGAATATGGCACCTAAAGGATTAAATATGGCACCTCAAGGATTACATAATGGAACTCAAAAGATTGTCAAAAAGAGCAACTAAAATAAACAAGGGGCTGGGGAGACTGATGCAAATAAATGCTACTTAGGTTAAGATTCAAATTGAAGTCAGGCTCTCCAGTTGTTTTTTCATTAGAAAATTTTTGTTATTGTTACTTAGATGTTATAAACATTCTGAGCAAGCATAAATACTAATTTTGGTGTACTCATTCGTAAGAAATGCTCTATTTTCTTACCTCTCTGCAAACAGCTGCTATCTGTCCTTCATCCATACAGGTCTCTGTGACCACATCAGTCAAAGAACCACCAGCCAAGTATTCCATGACCACCCACAGTTCATCACCAACTAAGTAGCTATAACAAGAAAAGAAAAAGACTTTGACTTGTGACCAAGTCTCAGTTCTGAGAGAAGTCAGTTGTGAGTGGAGCTATGTCTATTATCTATAGTTATTCAAGAACAAAACGTGATCAAATATGGGCACAGAGGTCACCAGAGCCTTACTATACAGGCAAAGAGCATGAAGTTATAGAAAATAACTTGGGGCCATGTTTAGACACTTAAGTAGTATCATTGGGTCTCTGGTTCCTTGTTTAGCCAGAGCGAGGATTTATAAGGAATGGAAGGACCCTTGATGTGCCTTTATGCCCACATCACTGTGAAATTAAACTACAATGTCCATAAGATGCACTGGGGAGTCTATTAAAAATGAAAATTCACTGGGTCCATTTCATGAGTTATGGCAAGCAGCCCAGAAACCTGCATTTCTACAAGTGCAAATACTATTTTGACAAAATTATGAATGCATAGGGTCACTTTGCTGCAAGTGAGTCCCCAAGGGCATTTTATGAAACACTGATCATGACTCTCAATTTCCATCCTCCTTTTTTCCTCTTTCCAATATCATTGATCTACCTGGTCTAAAACTCAGACAGCAAGATCTTAAGCTCATGGAGGTTGAAGAACTAGCCTTTTCTTTTGTATTCCCTCAGAACAGCAGAGTTGTGCTAAACAAACACTTACTGAAACTGAAAGAGACAGATGTTAACCACAAGTGAAGAGTTAGTGCTGTCTTTAAATGCCTATTTATAACACTGCTAATACTACTGATGAAAGAAACATTAATTACCTGGTTTAGAAAAAGGTTTAAGTCTCAATTCCCTAGACCTCACTGTCAGTTCCTCACAAAGCACCCATTAAAGCAGGGCCATTGTAGTCAGCCTTTCTTCATTCAGCCTCCTAGAGATCTTACCCACTCCAAACAAACACTAAAAGAAATGCTTAAAGCACCACGGCTCTCTATTTCCTGCCAATGTGGAGCCACAATCCGCAAGTAGAAATTACACAAACTGTTTATGTTTAGAACCAAACCCATAAAACCTTTCATGTTTGATGGGCGGTCAAAGATAAGTGGGTAAAAGGTTAGCCATGTATCTCACACTCTACTACTTTGTAGCATTTGAGAAATATTTGACTGTTAAATTAATAAAAGCCCAATAAAATAATTTACCAAGAAAAGGCCATCCCATAAGAACAACACATACATAATGAGAGAAAACACTTACCTATCTAAATAATTAACAATATTGGGATTCTTATTTTCCCTCATAACCAGAATTTCATTAATAATTAATTCTTTTTTGGGTTGTTGTTGAAGGTTCATCTGCTTTATGGCCACCTGAATGATGATGAAAATATGAGAATGAATCACAATTGTCACAATAAACACAAACATCAATATTTTGGGAACACAGAATGAGGCATACAAATTATTTACTAAGCTCTTTCTCTGTACCACAAATCCATGAGTAAATTATCTACATTTTTTCATAAGAGATGTCATTAACAAGGAATAAATATGAATAAAGGAAAATAATCAGGAATGTTAGCACTAACCTCTTGTCCTGTTGCAATGTCAAGTGCTGTATAAACAGTACCCGATGCCCTGTGAAGGTGAAATTTATCAAATGAATAAGCAATAAAGGTGTTACCAATGTATTTCACTTGCAACAAAATACTGGTTATTTGCAGGAGAGGAAAATTAGCAAAGTCAAGATTAAAGGATGAAGTAAAACAAGAGCATATTTTAAAAAATTATTATCATGGTAAGGACATTGAGCATAAGATCTACCCTTTTAACAAAATTTTAAGTGCACAATATTGGAACAACCTCTTTATAAAGTAATTACACCTGAATCATTCACTGTCTATCCCTTGTGGTGGGCTAGAAACTCCAGTCAAGATTTTTTGGCACCAGTTTCTGGGCCATGCTCTATGCAATTATGGGAAACTACTGAAATATTCTGAATATTCCTCAACTCGTACAACAATGAAAATTGAGGGCCTCTGCTTATACTGAAATCTAGTTTAGCAAAGGCAACATCACTTTTTGCTTTGCTTAGGCAAGTAGAAATTAACCTTCACTTTTAGCAGAGGAACAGTGTGGCTCTTTTAATATATTTCTAATTTTTAAGAATATGTTCATCTAACTAATCAACCACATTCAGTGCTGTACCAGTACTGTAGCTACACAAAGGAATAATGTGGTTTTATTATGGCATTAGTTAGCTGAAGTATTGCTTTAGCCAAATACCCTTTTAAACTCCATCATTGCTTAAGGACTGGTAGTATTCAGGCTTCTATTCTAACATCCCATGCTTAAAAATAGAAATTATAAAGTTAAATTCACAGTAACTTTCTGTGAACCACACCTGCATTTTGAACCATCTTTCACCTCCACCCCCAATAAAAAGGAAAAAAAATACTGTCAATTTCATCTGTGGTAAATAAAGGAATTAGGTTTGAAATCAGTCCTGTGATCCACTAGGCATTGTAATGCTCCCACTTTCCTATCTAAACTCTCTGGTAATTGTGTTTCTCTTTTACTCTCCATTTATCCCTTATGTTGTTTTGTTTTCTGAGTCCAGACATTCTTTTTTTATGTCTGGTATTTCCTAGTATTTCTTCTCTCTTCTTCTCCCTGGGTGAGCCAAAATATTTCTCATAAGCCTAGGAATTTTATATTACCTGGTCCCAGGAAAAAATGGGCAGTGTAGTATAAGGAATATTTGACTATTGGTAGAGATCGGAGCTCTAATATTTGGCATACTATCAACAGCCTATATGACCTTGGAGCAATGCATTTCCTTTTACTGTTTTAATCCTCTCACATGAAAACTAGTGATCACAATAACAGCAAACATATATTGAGCATATAGTGTGTGCGCGTGCAAGACACTGTGACAAACTTCATATAACTTCTCTTATTTTTAAATATTTTTTAAGTTGTCAATGGACCTTTATTTATTTAAATGCAGTGCTAAAAATCTAATCCAGTGCCTCATACATGCTAGGCAAATGCTGTACCATTTGAGTTACAACCCCAGCCCATGTAGCTTATTTTATGTATTCTTTACCTTATTTCTATATAAGGAAAATCTATCATTTTCATGGTATATATGAGGACCCTAAGGTTGAGAGAAGTTAAGTAACCTGGGCAAGGTTATACAATTTATAATTAAGGTCATCTGACTCTCTCACATGTAAAGTATAGGGAATGGGCTACTTTGTTCCTAAAGCTCTTTAATTCTATCATCTATAACCAACAACTGTACTTCCCTCCACATCCTGCATGAGTTTTAAATATCTATTCCAACTAAGCTGAAAAATCACACAAAATAGAGACCACTAAACCTGGAATTGATAATTATAGAAATTTCTTAGGTTTGAGGACTATATTAAATAAATTATTCTCTCCATTTTGTGTTTCTGATTCTGGGTTCAGAGCACATAGTTAGTGCCCAACAAATATCTGCTGAATTAACACATTAATAAAAATATCCTCGAGCAAGCATATGATTGCAATAGAATTTTTTCCATTGAAGAAAACATTTCTTCTACTTAAGTCTACATAAAAACACTTCCTCTTGGAATAAGATATAAGACATTCCTCACTTTAAGGGCCAGAATGTGATTTTTTTTTCTTCTGAATTCAGAGCTGTTCTAAGTTCAAAGGAATAGATAGATCATCTCAACCTGGTGTATATTATAGCTGGAATAATCCCTGAGCAACTTCTTATACTGAATTGCAAAATACAATTTTAAATTCATTTGTATATCTTTACATATTTAGGCCATTTTCACAACTCCTTCAGATGCAAAAGAGTAATGATATTTGCAAAGTCAGGTAATAGTAGTACCTATCTCTTAGGAGTGCAGAGACTCAAACAGCAAAATCTAGGTAAGTATTTAGCCCTGTGCCTGGATCACAGTTGATGCTTAATATGGTAACTGTTATTATTATCTGATTTTACTGCTGTTACTACTTTCCTAGTACAGGATGACTGATTCACTGAGTTCTTGGTTGGTCCTTCCCAATCTCCCAGCCAAAACATCCTTGCTAGCATCTGTCTTTATTTTCCAAAGGACAGAGGTTAAGGGTGAAAAAGTGGAACACTTTGTAGAGGTTCCACATCTTTTTTTCTCCCTAGGGAAGTGTTTTTGTCTTTTTCTTTTAAGCTTGGAACACTGTTATCAAATGAAACCACATGCAGGAACCCTCAATATAAAACAATTAAAATGGGAGCTGGTCCAGCTAAATCTGGGGAGGAAGGCCCAAAATGCCAGCCCAGGCAACTCCCCTTATCCTCTACCAGCATTCCTCCAACCTCAAGTCCATTTCACTGTACTAGGACCTAAAACTGTGATTGACTTGGAGTGAAAGGGGGATTAGTGTTTAACATCTCTTGAGCTTTACCTTGCAAATCCTTTGGGGTTTCTGTCCCCTAATTCCTTCAGCATTTTATTGTCTTAAAATTGCTGGATTCTAACCCTGGAATCCTAATATCCTGGGTTTTACGACATTCAGTGGTATAGAATTGCCACAAATTCCTAATTCACAGAGGTTTACAGACCCTGAAACTCTAGATCATCAGTTATTAACTAAAAATGAACTTCCCCCCTCATTTCCCCTTCCCCCACCTGACTGCGTGTACATAATTATTTAGTGGGAGCCATTTTCCCCTTTCCTCTCACCCTTGTTCCCAGTATTAAAATAGTGATATACTCTCCATCCTATTTACCACCCCAAAAACAAACATGTCGCTAGTTGGTTGGAATTCATTGCTCTGATTAGTAAGTGATTGGTTTACCCAATTCCAGCCTTTGTAGAACCCTCAACTAAAATGCACATACTCAAGTATAATCTGCACAGTGAAATTTAGTGCCTTATCCCTAGCTCCCTCTCAGCATGCCTAATAGTTCTTTGCATCCCAAGTCTACTGTATTTCTATATTCTAACAATCTAAGATTCAGTGGTGTAAGTGCAAATCTCTCCCTTCAACAGATGTCAAAAATTTTAAAGACTCATTTATTGAAGCACTTTCATTGCCTATCACTGGGCTGAGATCAGTATCCCTTATTCCTTTTCATCCTAACCTCCCCTGGTTCACATTCAACTACTTCCTAGTTGTATGACACTGGGTAAATAATTTAATCTCACTATGACTCAAGATTGAAGGAGGATTAAATGTCTACAGTGCTTAAAATGTAAACATTCCTGACCTATACTATTTGTCCAGTAAATATTAGTGATAATGATAATTATTATTTGATTGATGGTAGTCTGTGGATGACTAGGAAGCTCTTTAAGTGCCTGGAAGTTTTCAAGATATTTGATATCTCAAAATTCATAACAGAAATTCAACATTCATCTGAATGCAACTAATTCAAATATCATATACATTTTATTTTAGCTGGAATTATATTAACTAATGATTATGTTAGATATTGCATGGTGGCCAGAAGGCTCTAGGCAATAGTTAAGTTATATGCATTTTAAAAAAATTTAGTTGTAGATGGACACAATACCTTTATTTTATTTATTTTTACATGGTGCTGAGAATAGAGCCCAGTGCCTCACATGTGCTAGGCAAGCACTCTTCCATTGAGCTATAGCCCCAGCACAGTTATATGCATTTTCTTTTTGCATATTTAAGTATAAGAAATAAACAATTACTTAATAAATACAATATACTCATCAAAATTATTTACAATCTGGGGTTCATAGAGACTCTTATAGAGGTCTTGGTGGTGAAGGTGAGAAGACCTCTTCTTGTAATAATTGAAGCACAGTAGTATATATGTACTTCAAAAGAAACAATCTTTAAGCCAAACATGTATCACACTGGTTCCTAAAAGATGAATTCTGCAACATCCTGGAGTATCTTAAAGTATCTCAATATATATTTTACAAAATACATTTTAATTCACTTTAACAAAAATAAAGAAAGAGAAAGAAAGAAAGGAAAGAAAGAAAGAAATAAAGAAAGAAAAGAAAAGAAAAGAAAAGGAAAGAAAGAAAGAAAGAAAGAAAGAAAGTAAGTAAGTAAGTAAGTCTGGCTAGTCCCAGTGGTGCATGCCTGTAATCCCAGTGGCTCAGGAGGCAGAAGCAGGAAGATCATGACTGCAGAGCCAGCCTCAGCAATTAGCAAGACCATAAGCAACTCAGTGAGATCCTGTGTCTAAATAAAATATAAAAAAGGACTGGGGATGTGGCTCAGTGGCTAGGTGTCCCTGAGTTCAATCCCTTGTACAAAAAAAAAAAATCAGTATCTTTCAGCTCTGTGGGTTATACAGATACTAGAAATCAATCTAACAAAGATGGAGGTTAACACTCCTAATTCACTGACATACTGGAGCTGTTATGCTAAAATGGTCCATATTGTCAATTCGATTTTTATGAAGCCACTTAATTACATTCATCCTTATTATCCTTCCATTCCTATTATATTGAAGTCAAAGATTGCTGTAGAGAGAACATATGTTTATGCTCGGGATTTTATTTATTCCAAATCTCAGTTCCTTAGATGGCAAAAAGAAATTATGCACTATTAAAACTCAAGGGAAATAGAGATCATCCAGTTTTACCTCCTTATTGCAGATAAG